GAGAAACACTGACTTGTTATAAAACATTTCAATTCTCTATAAAGATTAATTGCCCTTTTCAAATTCCCTATCCAAACACACTATAAAATAATACTAATAGGCATAACTTTACAATTTAAGAAAGTTTTTATTTATAAGGAAATCCCAATACAAGGTGAATTTTATCTATCAGGAAAGGTATATCACCTTATCATCTTCACATTTTCCCTATGACAATGGACCTCACAACACTTGCCAAGGATACCATGAGCAACACTACACAAGACCTTCGTAAAGTACCCATCCTGAATATCTCATAGGAGTGTTTTTCTTAATGGATTGAAGAGGTCAGGGCACATTTAGAGGTGCTAGGTAGATTCTTCCAAAGACGATGAATTATGCTATGTGAAAACATAATAAGAACTGGATATATAGATTGCATTTAGAAAGGGTTGCATTTAGAAGTTATCAATCATCCAAAACAACAATATATAGATTGCGCTCTAGGAAACTTGGAGAAATCAACCCAAACAGAAGGTTCAGGGATATAATCTGCAACAGCCAGAACCAAAGGTAGGAAAGCCAATGAGGATTTGAAGAGATACGTGGATGCAGAAATACAAATTGAACTCAACAAGAAAGAGCTTTGCTGTAAAGGATGATAAAATATAGCTTGAATCATTTAAGTCAAAAAATTACTGAAGGAAGATCTATAAGAAGTAGATGACATGGCTCTTACTTTGAGTTCAAAGAAGACATAGAGAGAGTTTTAGAGGACTTTCTGTACATTAAAAATATGAAAAATAAACAATTGGTACTGAGCTTGTGCTTGCAACAGGTAGATTGAAACAATGACAATAACTGGTCTTGTTGTTCCCAAGCTAGGTATTCAGAATTAAGAGCCCTCAGGTAGCAATTATCTTCAGTGAGAAGGTGCGGTGGAGTTTTAGGATGAACAAGACAAGCCTATGGCTTTACGATTTGTTGAAGCCAAAGAAGAAAATTGTCTCCATTGAGTTTCTTAGAAAATGCACGAGTAGAAGTGAGTGGGACAAAAGAGGTTAGAGACAGGGAAGGTGGTGGAATGGGAGAAGCCATGGTGATTTCCTACAATCTGGACCATGTTGAGTTTAGAGAAAACAAAGAGAATTTCAGACAATTTTCTGTTGATTGAAAAATGAGGAAAATAGTAAAATTGGTACTGTGTTTGTGCTTACTTACAGTATATATTTATAGTACAGGAAGCCTAACTAACTACAATCTAACGCCATTTAAAACGGTTAATGGGGATTTGAGAAATTATTTACCATCGGCTAACTGAACTACAGGTAATGAACTGGTGTTAAACTAACTCCAGTAGACTAAGAAATGACATTCGCAGATGCTAAATTTCATCTTGATTACAAAGTGAAGCTTTGGGATGGGGAAGTGTTTTAGAGACTACGGTCATTATTAGAAAAGGGAGAAGGAGACACAAGTCAAGAGAAAGAAGGATTTAGTCAATAAGTCTTCCATTTTTCCCACATTCTGATTCAGTTCTACTAGAAGAGAAAAAATCAAAGCCTATGTTTTCTTTCTTCCCCTTTCTCCTGTTTTTTCTTTGATCTTAATGAGTTAAATTCCTCATCAGAACTGTTCTCTTAATAATGACAATTAGTTAAATAAGTTGCAAAGGCCTAGATTAGCAGCTTCCTATTACATTAATTTTACACTTAGTTAGGGTTTAAGATAAGTTAAAAAAAATCAGAAGCAAACTTGATGTCCCAGTGCAATAGCTTCCGGCTCCAATATGATTTCCTTCATGCAAAACAAACTAACCTTTTTTCCCCCAATTCTTCATTAATTAAAACATCAACATTGCCTTTTGATGCATACCGCTCCCAATCAAATTATAAAAGAAGCAAATTGCCTTTTGCAATTACTCATTAGATAAATAGGGAATTGAATCACATACCTTATACCTAATTGCATCGTAAGTCCCATAAACGGCACCTGTATGCAACACACCCAATTTCAATATCGACAAGATTAACCGAAGAAGATAGCGAAAGATGTGCGGTGTTTGGCTTACTGAAAAGGAGGTAACCAAACAGAGGATAAGAGGTGTAATCTCACCTACTGCGCCGCCAATAGCACCGCCCACGGCAGCTCCGGTCGCCACGCGAGTGAGGACGTTGTCTCTAGCCATTCCTTGTTTATTTTTCGCTTAACTTGTTCTTCAACTTGGATTTTTCTCTTTAATGGTTTTATTAACTTTAATACACCTTTTGATCTGAGATAAAAAAAAATTGAGAAATAACTAGTTTATTTATTTTTTTCAGGTAGTTTATTATTTAATAGTTTGAAAAAATTGAGTAGTTAAATTTAAATAAATAATTATTTAAAAAGTAATAATTAAATTTAAATAAACTGTTACAAAAGTGAAATTGGAAATGAAATCTGTATTAAAAAAATATGATTACACAAATCAATCATTTTTATATATAAGTATAGATTAAAAAAAAAATACAAGTCCAAATCAACATTATTATATTCGTATTTTCTGCCAGATTATTTTATTTGAATAAAGTAAAATGGAATTCTTTATATTGTTTTGATTTTTAATATATGTTGCTGTTTTTATTTCGATCCTTCCATTCCAAACGAAAGCCAGAATTTCGTTTAGTTTAATCTTTTATTTTCTTCGACATTAATTCTTTAAGTTTTAAAAATAATTCAATTTGATTATTTTTATAATATTCTTTATTAATTTTAAGAAAAATAATTAATGCCGATGATTCTGCCTATCTATTTATTTATTTATCTATAAATAATACCCTTCAAACTATCACAAAAAGTAATTTTTTAAATTTAAAACAAAAACAATAATAAAAATACCAAAATTATTTAAAAAAATTTAACATACTTAAAATATTAATAAGTGGTTGGATGCTATATTAACATTTGACAATATCTAAAGATGACACGTAGCATTGGGTTGTGGAGAATTTTGTACAATTTTAAACATCAAATGTTCAAACTTCAAACAAATATAAAAAACAAAACTATCAAAATTAATTAAAAGAAAAACAATATTAACACATTGTGGTATTTTTATAGATATACTATAAAAAATAATAAATATAGTAATAATTTATCTATAAATAATATACTTTAAACCATTTAATAATAATATTTCATAAAATTACGTGAATTGGAAATAATAGATATGTGTTTCATAATAGATACTTTAAAAAAGAATATAATAAAATTGAAAATCATAGGTATGTATTTAATAATAATTCCATTCAAATAAAATTGAATTAAAAGTAATTTACTGTTGTAGATTAAAATTGATTTATATATTACTAAACATTAAATATACTAATAATAATAATTTTAATTAATAAATAATAATTTAAACAAGAAATAAAATAAAAACGATAAATATAGTTAATATTTTCAACTAGGAAAAAAGTAATTAAGTAATAAAATAAATTGTGATAATAATTTTAATTTAATTTTATAAAAATATAATGAAATTGGAAATAATAGATATATATTTAATAATAATTCCATTAAAATAAAAGTAGATAAAAACTAATTTACTATTATAGATTAAAATTAATTTATATATTAAATATACTAATACTAATTTCAATTAATAATAATCATTTAAGTAGAAAATAAAATACTAATAGTAAACTTGTTATCTTTCTATGTTGACCCTTGATGTTGTCTCGAGGTTCATGTAGTTTTGTAATTATTCACTCTCCTTTAAAGTCTATGATTTACTCGTTGTATGGGATAATGATGTCTTTAGATAAGTATATTTTTAGAAAAGTCTTACAAAACATGATGTTGACTGAGCTTTCCTGGTTGATCAATATCTTACTGACCCTAAACCGAGCAATTTCAACTAATGTGACTATTGGATCGTCCTAGTAAAGGTTTGGTGCCTTGAAATCCTCATATTTAAACATGATGGGTGACATAAACTTAGGAATCTTATCCACTAGATGGATAGTCTTCAGGGTCCGAATGTGATGTTTACGAGCCGAGGAGGAGGAACCATCTTCAGCATATTCTCCTAAGATAGTATTTATATGACCGTGTAATGGGTGATCCCAAACCTAGTCGCCCAACGCCTGAATCCTGGCACCTAACGAACGCCAACTCACCCAACGAGTAGATCTAATTGTCCCGCGAGAGCTCAAACTGATAGTTTCTCCCGCTCAACAAGCTGACTCGCTTAACCTCTAAAACACACTGCCAAAACACTCCAAATACTTGCCCAACAAACTACTTGCTTGTCTAACCACTATGTATAATTTTGCAAAATACTAATTATGTAGCATTTGCACCATCTCAACCTCACATATCCTATCTTATGAATTTCTACCAACCTCCTCCACCTCAATATGTATTCCAAGCCTCAATTAACCTATCTAAGGGTACATGATCCAACTTAAACCAAATTTATACTCATTTTACCATGAAATCCTCACTTAATACAACTAAAACACCTTTGTATAAACCATAATTCAATTCTACCATTTCGAACACCTAACTTAGCTACTTAATGGTTTGAATAAGTCACAATTCACCCAAAAACAGACCTCAAATACTCGACTTTGCCATAGATCTTTCACTTTAAAATTTCACTCTCTATAACCTTTAAAATTCACTTAAAAATCATTTCAAATACAACCCATTGTCTACCGTCCATTTCTAAACAATTTATCTACTAATTCAACCTAAACAAGTCTCAAATGATCATACAATATATTTTATATCACCATTTATTCTCTTATACTACTATTTCTAAAAATACTTATCAAAACCTCCAATTGACCAAAAATAATGATCTATAATTTTACTAATCCATTTCTCCTCAACATTTCAACCAAAATAACACCACCAACCACATTCACAGTATTAAATCACATTCAACCAAAATAAAAAATATATGAGAAATATAAATTAAATAAAAAAGAATAATATTAGATTTCACACTTGAAAATTAACGTGCAACCCTCACTCCCTCGTCACGGTCACGATCACGATCACAACAAGAAGCGGAGCTAAAATCCCTTACCGCCGTCGAGCCCACCGCCGTCGAGCCCAACGCCGTTGAGAACCACTCCCGGAAGCTAAATCCCTTACTGCCGCAAGTAATCCATAACTCTATTCTCACACAAAATTCGTTCTCACCACCACCCGTTGTTCTGACCTTAGCTTCCCTCTCCCTCTTTCACAACAAGTTTGAGTTATTCTCACAACCTAACTCTCCGCCATAAACTTATTCATGCCACCATAGAGAATTGGTCACCCTAACTCTCCGAATCGTGCCACGAAATCGCTATTCTACTCGTTTTGAATCATGGTCTCGAAGATATTTTGAATTTAAATTTCCAAGACCGCCAATTCTAACCTCGTTGTGATCATCAAGCTCGTCATGATCGACAAGCTCATCGCCATCCATGTTCGTTGCTACCCTTATAGTTGTCACATTCAAACGCTGCCTCCAATAGCTAAGGTAACACTTATATACTTCGATTAAAATAGTTCTTTCACAAGTTAGGGTTTATGGCTTCTCAATTGGGGTTTATGGTTTAAAATACCTTCAATTTTTGAATTTGGTATATCCTCATCAGTCAAATCCCTGATAACAGTAGTTATATGATTTATTTCCTTGTTTTAGTGATTATTTGTCTCGTGCAATTTATGTTAATGATTTGTAGTTATATGAATTATTCCTATGTTTAAGTTCTAATCACTTGATGAAAGATTGTCATGTTTATTTATGTTTATGAATGCAATCCCAATTCTCCAACAATATTCACCATACGTGAGTATAAGGTTTCAATTGCGGCAATTTAATGGTTATCGTACCTGATTTGATTTATTTAAGGGAAAGTTCGAAACGCTGAAAGAGGTATGAGTGGATAAAGGCATTGGGGTAATGTCCGTGGATATCAGATGAGAGAGCTTTTAGTGTCACTTCGGGTGGAGGAAATTCCGATAAAGGACTTGTGGGAAGAGAAATGTAAGTGTGTGTGGGAAGGAAATCTAAGTTTTTATTTAAGGAGACATGTAGATCAACAATTCTTTTGTTGTACTGTGCTTTGTTCTCCTTGATGAAAATGTTATAAGGACCAAATGATTGTCTTTATATGCCCTTTTGGTCTATTGTTTACTTTTTGCACCAGTGCTTCAGTTTGATTATGTCTTTGATTGGAACATTTTGAAATACACCAATCTCAAAGTGCCCCTGCCCTTACTCCTGCCATTGTATGTGATAGCATGCTATCTCATTGTATTAGCTTATGGATTGTTGAGATTAAGTTAATTCAGTGGAAGTAACTCTTGCAGGGTCCGCTATTCGACCAAACTCAGACGTGCCACCAGCAGCTGCAAATGTTGATGGACAGTTAGGTATGATTTGTTCTTTCGGTTCTGTGTCTCTGATCTATCATTTATTTACCTTGATTGAGATGTTTACAGGCAACCTGTACAGTTTGGTAGTCATGTTCTTTCCCTTTTTAGGTAGTGACAAACACTCGAAAGAAATGATGTAAAATATATTGGTATAACTTAAAGTTAGTATTAAAAAAAAGTTAAGAATATTTTGGAATTAAAAACTCCTAGTACCACTAATACTTGAAGACTAATGAATATAGTCCTTCCAGAACTTGAAGAGCTCAATCTGCAATATAGTCTAAGGTCAGTTGCTTTATTCCTCTTAATAGTATGACTTCATAGTACAAGGAGGTTACTATATCTTATTTTTTGGGCCTATACCCTGTGGCTAGTGTCACTATGCTGTTCAATTCATAGTCTAAGTAGGTTGCTTTTTGTGTGTTTTCTTACCACAAGGTGTAATCATCATGCTTTGTGGTCTTCGATGGAAAAAATTAATAAAAAAAAGGAGGGTTGATCGTAATAGATCTTGTCGTCCCCAAAGAATGAACAACACTTCTTACTTCTCATCGAACCTTGAACCTCTTCTCTATTCTCGGTCAAGTAGTTGAAGACTTCTTACTTCAATTTTCATATCCAATTTCTTAAATGTATATAAATTATTGAAATTTCTTTAATCAGTATTGAATATAGTGAAAACTATGTATAAGAGTAATCTTCCCTTGTGTAGGAAATACACATAGGGTATTGTATTTATAATAAAGGAAATATGGGCGGTTAAGAAGTGGACTTTAAGACTAACTCAACCCCACAAAACCGGCTTGTAAGGTGAGGTTTACACCCACTTATATATTATAAATTGACCTTATTTTTAGTCGATGTGGGACTTCCAACACCACCCCCCCTCTCATGCCGAGATATAGACATCATCTTGAGCATGGGACTAGAATTAATGAGTGGTGAGCGTGAGACTAGAATTAATGAGTGGTTCGATAATGGCCCAATAGCGGGTGGAACAACATGCCCAACAAACATCAAATATCGCTAGGATAGGCTCTAACCATAGCTCTGATACCATGTTAAGAAGTGAATTTTAAGCCTAACTCAACCCCACAAAATCGAGTTGTAAAGTGAGGTTTACACTCACTTATAAATTATAAAATGACTTTATCTCTAGTCAATGTGGGACTTCCAACATGAGCTAAGTCCAAACTATAAATAAAGAATAATAATAATGGAATCGAAGATAAAAGATAAAGAGATAAGATATCTATCTAAGATATCTAATAATCAACAAAGTTACTTAATTTTATTTTCACACAAAAAGTGGAAGTAATTTGCAAAATTGTCTTATTGCCAAAACAGGGTAACCCAAACTTGCTGGTGTTGAGGTGCTAATTAGAGGTCAATTTGCAAATGGATACACTTGCTAATTCCAGTAAAAGTGGGAACTGGAAGCGGAAAGAATTGTGGTTTCTTGTGATTTATGCAATCGTTTTCTATGTTATCATCATCAACCGTTCACTTCAACTCTCTCGTGGTATATATTTTAGACATTTTCAACTCTATAATATTGTTTCAGTAATTTTGTTTACCTATACTACTTGCTTAGTTGCTGTGCATTGAGTGCTTTGGGTTTTGTTTTTCACAGATTATTACAAACAGTTGTCAGGTTTACGCCCGGGTTGGCTCTTAGCTAACCACCTCAATGTATGATCCTGCTCTTTTTGGTCATTATGATAATTTTGTCTGGTGTAAGTATTTCGGTAGATGGTCATGTTGCTTGCTGATCAAACGCACATGTTTTGTGTAAAGGATGTTTCAGATGCTCAGTGGAGGAATTTTCGAGGAAATATACCTGTTCTTACTCTTGTCTTTGGAATTTTCACTCTTCTTGCCTACTTGATGAAGGCTTTATTTGATTTAAGAGTTAGAGGAATGTCCATTGCGTGGCTTTTATTTTCTTTGGCCTACTTGTCATATCTTCATGGAGCATGGTAGGGTGCACCATTTAATTTGATGTTGTTCTTTCTTCCATTGTTGTTATTCCTTACCTTCTTCATTCTGACTCTTGAGTTTGTTTCATTTGCAGCATTGCTTTTATCCTATCAATAGCTACTGGTAATTTTATTCTTGTAAAGGTGTGTGTAATGGACGTTGCAATATATCTAGTTCAAAACCTGTAACGTTGTTGATTTTGAATTTTTAATCGCCTACTTAAAGTTATCAACATGTCATAGCACTTTTTTTTTCATTAAAACTAGTTTACCTCAGGCTGCTTTGTTTTAATTTGCATGTCATATTTGCAAAATGTAATAAAAAGACTTCTATATTTGATTTCTTGTATTGCTCATAGGAATGATACTCCTCCACTTGAATTAATTAAGATTTTATTTTGTTTATTTATTTCTTGCTAACTCTAGAATTTCCGAAACCTAGTACTCTTTAGTGAGAATGGTGTTGCCATGAGTGATGGATTATTTAAATCAATACCTTCTACCAAACAAGAATTGTATATTAAAAGTTATTACATCAAAAGCCTGTAGCAAATATTGTCAGCAAGCTTCTGAAGACAACTCTGAAGAGTGCAGTCTCCTAAGTTTTGTATAGTGAGAGACTTGTGATTGTGTGAGAAATGTCTTTCCGATGGAGGATATGGACATGTTTTTGGAGGAGTGGGGTTGGGTAGGTTTGGGCTTGAAACTCCAACAAATTTATTTCAAGAAGAAGGACATCCAAAAGGAAAAAGTTGAAGTTTTGGAGGCCAGACAATTGTTTTTTTGGCTTGGAAAATATTTCCTTGCATCCATAACTGTAATAATAGATCACAATATGAAAAATCGACTAAGACACAACTCTGGTCCTGGATATTTATTGACAGGTTGTAATAGTATTTACTTATCCTAACAACTTTTGATGCTTTGACCATATTTTTATTGATGTTTAAGAAACCGTTACTAAAATCTGTTTGTTCCTGAACATATAATGCTTTGGTCAATAATTGTGTTGTTGCACTCAATACCATATTTATAACTTTTCTGTAGTTATCATGTAAGACTAATTCTGTTTGAGCAGATATTTGCACAGAAGGAGTACTTTCCACTTATAGTTTGGAGTTACAACATTTTGTTTCTTCTCTGTAATCGGATTTATGAAGGATATTCATTCTCTATATTTGGGTAAGAGGCATAGTATTTGTTGCATTGTTACATTGTTTTGTAGGAGTAATTCCATTTTGACTTAAGATTATGAATTTACGATGCAGGCAACAATGGGCATTTTTGGACAATTACCGGGGCAGCTTTAGGTGGCACATATGCTTCAACTTTGGTATTTTTTCATTATTTAATTGACTTCCTATTGTACCGTATAAAGTCAAAATAGTACATTGATATGTGATTCTTACAATTATTGGTCCCATGATTCACGCGTATTGGGTTGTTTCCCATCCATCACTGCATTAAACATAAAATTATGCCAATTCAATCATTCCTAACTTTTTAAATGTTGTCATGTTACGCAGATTTGTTATTTATAGCACTTATGGATCAGAATATTAAAATTTGGTGACCTAAATTCTATTTTTGATTTGCATTTTATGTATTATATTTGCACATCTCTGTGTTCTCATTTTGCATACTATTATGTAATGTAACATCATGGGTAACTTAATATATGTTTCTTTATATTTAAGCTTAGATGTTTGTGGCAGTTGTTTTGCGCATGATAAGCTTTGGATTCGATTATCAATGGATAAATCAAGATTCTCATTTTGATCATGAGGTATTTCTTTCTTTCTGAAAATAGTGCCTTTGTTTTGAATATAAGATTCCGTTGTGCAGCCTCACTCGAAATTTAATATGTTTTCAGGAATGATAATATATTATAATGCTGGGGATAAATTATTGTGACTAAAATTCTTGATGTTACTTCAAAAGACATAAATGTACAAGATTATTATTCAAATAATTTTCTTCTTGAATGCTTCACTTCACTAGTGCATAAAACCAGACTACTTTGATTAGGTTGTAGGTTTGGTATATATATATATATATATATATATATATACACACACACACACACACAGAGATTAGAATATGGACTGGGAACAGCCTTGTTCAGTTAATTTCCTAGGTAAAACCTATTATGTTACCATCTTCATGTTTCTTGGTTGGTTGATTTTGACATTTTCTGAACCATTGCTTGAAACATTCCAGCTAGCAATACTCATGTCTAGCGTACATTGTTAATTAATTATGTAGCCTTATGATTTTGGGTATCAATATGATTAATAAATATTTTTTCCATTGTGTAATTCTTTGATTATTGCAGAAGCATTATCAACGTTGTCATATTTGTAAATCCGGAAAATCTTGCTATCAAGTTTTACAGGTTAGGATAGGTGCTTGTTAAAAGCACAAGGTGAAATTTATCATAGTTGCTGAGTTATGTTTTTTGCTTTTTCTTTCCATATGTTTTTATGTAGTTATAATTTCTATAGGCCCTGTGAACTCATGTTTTCCAGTTCTAATTTTAATAACATTATCAGGAGAGAAGTCTGCCAAATGACAGGTTTGGATATATAACGTACCTTTGTTATTTGGTATATGCGCCACTTTACATCGCTGGTCCAATACTGAGCTTCAATGCTTTTGCCTCACAGGTTTGTGATTGCAAGTTATTTTGATGGTTTAAGCTTCACTATTGACTTCCATTACATTGTGTATAGTTGTGGTCTTTGTGAAACCTATATTTAAGAAATGAACCATCATGTTGTTATTTTCAAAAGGAGATATATATGCAAGATGTAAAATAAACCATATTTGTAGTCATTGCTTAGAAATTAGATGGTATAACACAAAAGGATTCAAGTAGGGTGGATGCTTGTAGCGAAAGGAAAACTTTTACCATACATGGAGAAGCTTAGCCAAATAGGACTATGCTAGAAAGAATAAATGCATTAGAGAAAAGTATGGGTAGCTCTTATTATATATATTAGAAAGTGGACTTTAAATCTAACTCAACTTTAGAAAATCAGTTTGCAATGTGAGATTTGTACCCATTTATATACTATAATTTGGTCACATAGTTAATGTGGGATCTTCTACACACTTTCGTATACACATCTCTAGTGTGTGACTAGATATTTGTAAGTAGTTTGATAGTAGCTCAATAGTAGGAAACATGATAAGCCCAACAAAATTGTGTAGGATAGGTTCAAATACTATATTAAAATGTGGGTACAAATCATACCTCACAAACTTTTTAAGTTTGTAAGTAGTTTGATAGTAGCTCAATAGTAGGAAACATGATAAGCCCAACAAACCTCTGTAGGATAGGTTCAAATACTATCTTAAGATGTGGCTACAAATCATACCTCACAAACTTTTTAAGTTTGAGGTAAGATTTTCACCCAGTTGTAAACTGTGATTTAATTATATTTCTACTTGGTGTTGAATCTTCAATACACCCCTTCACATTGAGGACTGGATATGTGGGACTATATATGGAGGGGGTCTGATAGTGGGCAACATACTAGGCCTAACAAACTTTGTTAGGGTAGACTCTCATACCATCTTAAAAATTGGACTTTAAACTTAACTCAACTTGGTTGTAAGGTGAGATTGACATTCATATGTCATATAATTGATCATATCTCAGTTGATATGAGATTTCCAACATTAGAAAATAATGCTAGTTTTTCATCATAGGTGATTTGGGCATGTGTTGAGAACAATGGTTGAATACCTGTTGAGAAGAGTTATTCAGTTGGAGGCCATCCCTGTCCATAGAAGCTTAGGGGGGGACGGATAGGGAGAGAGAATCATAATCAACAAAAATTCACTGAGAAGGGGGATCTGATTATTATTTTCAATTCAAGTAGTAGGAAGTAACCGTCTCTGGTTGTGTGTTTCCAGGAGCAATAGCCATTATAAAGATTAGCTTTCATTCAACAAATGCCACAACCGAATCTTTCATAATGATCCTCCCCCTCACGCTCCATGGGTCCCACCTGCGTGAATTGATAGTGTACCTTGAACTTATCATTCTCTTTGTGTAGCACGACTCCAGAACTTATATCATTAGCTTTGGGACTTGTGTGAACCTTCCTCACCTATGACAATTGATAGAGTGGTTATTCCATTGTACTACTACTAAAGCTGCTGCTTGTGTATGAGAAGATGTCTTCTAACACTATATTACTATGAAAAGTGGGGCAGACATTGTGGTGTCCAGGGCTCTTTTCAGCTTAGAAGCAAAAACACCCTGTTTAGTGAAGACTTGAAAAGGACCAAAGTTCCTTGCAGCAAGTTTAGGATTTGATCAATGCCTGCATGAGGTATATACTTGATATATAGACGCGACATTTGATGTGAAACTTTTCTGATTGTCAGTGAAGATCAACAATCTTCCTCATCAAGTCTTATGCCATGTAAAAACTTCTGCTCTCAATCAACCATAGGCAGGTTGTTTCACTTCTGTTTCACCTGGAATACATTGTATGATTGTTGGTAATCTCCTGTCATAAGCCACCTCAGAGGTCGTGCTAGTGTAAACTTGGTAAGAAGTATTGTACCAATTCTCTGGTTTGTACAAAAGCAAAAGGGAACAAATAAGCTTCAAGGCTAAGAGTTATTGCTTTGTTAATTTAAATGATCAACTTGCAAATATCTCCACTGAGTCATTAAGAGTTCCTTGAATTAGTTATATATGCAACAAGCTTATGCATATTATTTATATGCTCTAAAGGGTGACTAATGTAAATAAGGTGATTATGGGGTTTATTTAGTGTTATATCTTAAACCATAATTATTCAAGCATTGTAACCGTAAATCCTTGTCTTTATGACTCAGTACATATAATATTATCTGTTGTTTAATTGAAACTTACAAAGTCCATCTGCCCCATTTTATCTCTAACAATTCCTGAATGTTTCTCGTATCACTGACTAGTGTCAAGTGCTTTTGAATGGTTGCTCGAGTTTATGTTTTTGTTGATGATACTGTTCTAATTTTTTGTAGCTAGACGTTCCTCAAAACACCATTTCGGTTAGAAATGTGACACTCAATGGTTTTCGCTGGATATTGAGTATTATCCTCATGGAATTAATGACTCATTTATTCAACTATAATGCCTTCGCTAATAGGTGAGAACTTCAGTATTCAGGAAAAAACCTCAGGTTATATTTAATTTTTAATCCAATTTTATTGTTTGGTTGCTAAAATAATTTCTTAAATTAATTAGTGATTTGTGGAAGCACTTATCGCCTATGGACGTGTTCATCATTGGATATGGTGTAAGAGAATACACATTCATCAATTAAGTGTTTTACCAGGCCTAATGACGCACCATATCACATAGCCAACCTCAATTAGTGGGATAAGGCTTAGTGGTTGTTGTTTCATCATAACAATTAAATTAGATCAGCATGTTTCCTTCTAAATCTTACTATTTATTTGTTCCAGGTATTAAACTTCATGTGGCTAAAATTTTTATTGATCTGGCGCTTTTTCCGATTTTGGTCACTGGTAGGTTAGTTGCTCGATAAGCATTTGGCATAAATGTCCACATACATATTTGAAAAAAGTCATTTTGAGCTATTCATTGTAGATAAATGGAATTGAGGTTCCGGAGAACATGCCAAAATGCATTAATAATTGCCACAACTTGGAAGGCTTCTGGAAAAATTGGCACGCTTCCTTCAACAAGTGGCTTGTGAGGTGCAATAAATTCTTTTTCCTGGATTTTGCACTTTTGTTTTCCCAAATAGCTTAAATTTTGATTGGCAAGAAGTTCAGGTATATTTACATTCCTCTTGGGGGATCTAAGAAAAAGCTACTAAATGTGTGGGTTATATTCACATTTGTTGCAATCTGGCATGATTTAGAGTGGTAAGTTCCCTTTATTGTTGAAGTTCAATATTTTCTACCTGTAGAAGTTGCACAGTTTTTTATCTGATGTTTTATGCTTGATTATTCTTATGGACCTTAGGAAGCTTCTTTCATGGGCATGGTTGACGTGTATATTCTTCATCCCTGAGTTAGTTTTTAAATCAGCAGCAAAAGCTTTTCAGGCATGCTCATACACAATTTTCTACTATTAAAATTTTCATTGATCTGTAGTTGTAATTTGCTGTCTAACATGGAGGTATATTTGATTATCAGGCTCAAAGTTCTTTTGGAGTATGCATATTTCGTGAACTCAGTGCTGTTGCTGGGGCAATCACAATTACTTGCCTCATGGTTTGTCCTTGACTAGCCCAGGAGATTTATGAATATCGTAATCTTTAGTTATTATACTTTTATGTAACATCCTCATCAATGTTTTGGCATCTGACTGGCTACCTGAGAAAGTATAAGAAGGACTTTTCAAGGGGCCAGTTAATGATGCAACAAGTAATCTGATTGAACCAAATGACCCAGTACAAGGCCTTTTATACAACAAAGTTGACGTTCAATTTCCCACATAATATAGATTGGAACCAATTACACTCAAGTTTAACTTTTTTTTACATCACCAAAATTGAGCCTTAGTCAAGTTTATATATGGTGCTACAGATATATATATATATATATATATATATATATATATATCAGAGTGAGTCTAAAATTTATGTCCCAGGTCCTGCTCGTTGCTCTGTACACTGAACCATATCAAGAGACTTTTTTCCATGTGGATGGTTAATGAAAAATGAATAGAAATTATTATTTCTGTTATCTAGAAACTCTTGTATTTAGTTTGTAAAACAAATATATAATCCATATATGGTTTAAATACCATGACATTTCTTGACAGGTGGCTAATCTGGTTGGGTTTGTGGTTGGACCGGGAGGCATTAACTGGCTGCTTTCTTCTTTCCTTCAGAAGGAAGGTATACCAAATATCCTGAGCCTTTTAACTTAATTGCAGTAAAATACAATGAAAAATTGATTGGGAAATTCCATGACTCAGGTTTGCCTGTCCTTGGCGGCATGCTTGTGACATTTTACGTTGGAACAAAGGTTTGAGATGTTCAGCATTCACTTTTATGTATTCATTCCTTTGAAAAAATTTCTTCTCCCTTTCAAATTTTATTTAATAATATTCTGCCTGATATTTGCAGATTATGTTCCACATTGACGAGGCAAAGCAAAGATTGCCCTGAACTGGGACAATTACTTTTGACCATGTGAAAATATTCACTCATTTTTAGTCCATATATGGTTTAAACATGAATGTTATATTTTTTAATTGAATTATATTAAATTAGAGTTGAATTAATAAAATTAAGAAAGAAAATGTATTTTCATGGAAATGTTAAAATCCAAGAAAGATAAGTGTCATACATGCATTTAATTGTACGTTTATATTTTTTACTACAAAGTTACTAAAGTCCTGACAGAATAATCGTTGTAATAGAGATTATTTTTTTTAAGTCTTACATGTCACAATAGTTGTTTCCTCTACAATAATTATATCAAGACTATATGTATATAACTAGGTATAAACTGTTAAGGTGCTTTCGTTTGAGTTTAGCTGTCAAAATGAACTAATCTGTTTTGGGTTGAGACAGAGCCAAGTGCATACCGAATCAAATTAGGAAAATTATAGGATGCATAGAGTACAATTATTGCTACAAATTTTATTCTCTTCTAATGAATATACATGGATCCTGAGACATTCCATAGCATGTACATCAACCAAAAATATGATTTAGAGTTGCAGCCAGTCGAACTCCTTCTTGAGCTAATCGCAAACTGATAGAAAATAATCGTCTGCAGAGTATTATTTCAGATATTGTGAGATACTCTGTAAAAGTGAATGAAACCTCCACTTCACTGTTAACTCACACAGGGCTAACTTTTTAAGAACAGAGAAAACTGCAAGTCTTTGCAATCTTATTCATCAATGTATAAAGGATTCAAGTTTATAGGTTTAGCTCTATAATTGATAAATAAAAAATGAGCAACTACTCGAACCAATAGCATGAACATAGAAACACCCTAAACGTGCGTGACAGAAACAATTTATTTAAAAGAAAAAGACTGCAAAGAATAACTGCTTAATCTGGAAATACAGTCAACATTTCCTCCCTTAAACTGTATGCTCCTTGCAACAGTTTATCTTTGGTTCTTCAAGCATGCCCAATGCATTATATTTGTGAGTTGTCCTTTTGTGATGCCTTAATCTAACTTTATAACAACATCATTGCATAAATCTCTAAAGAAATAAAATCTCACGTAAATACGTTTATTTCTTCCATGCAAGATTGGGTTTTTGAATAACTTAATGGTAGAAGCATTGTCACAAAATAGTACAGTAGCTCTTTCCTTCTTGGCAACGTTCCAGTTCTAAAATTCTTCTTAACAGAACACATTACAAACACAAAAAAGTTGCTATGAACTCTATTTCAATTGTGGATAAACTTATTATTGGTTGTTTCTTTTATGTCCTAGAAATCACATCTTCCTCTTAGGTTGAAAAACATCATACGATATAGGATTGAGGTAAAGTAAAGATAGTGTTTAATGATATTTTATGAGCATGTTCTCTTTTTCTCTATCTCCTTTATGTTGCAGCATGACAATGTTTCATTAATCTTTCATTTAAATGTGACTTGTACACTTTTTAATGCAAAGTTTGAGGAAACATTATAAGAATATCTTCTTATCTCTCAATATCTTTTTATCCTTTGTGTAACCTTTCTGAATAAAACTTTAGCATTAACATTACCTGCACAAATAACAAGAACAAAGCATGCAAACAGAAAAACATTTTTTCTTTTAACATTAAATATTTTAAACGTTTATGATCGTTAATCATGTTACGTGTTCAAAACATTTTGTTACATGTTAGCACATTTTGATAAATGCATTGTTTGAAGGCAAAACATTTGGTATGTTATGATATGATCTTTTAAGTCTTTTGTTTCATAACATCATCTAAGCTTGAGTATATCGTTTATTGATACTCAACATAGCTTGATGTTCAGATGCCTTATTGCTTTGTTCAAGTGCTATGTTGATTAGATTCTCTGTTAGGAGTTCTATATTATTTGATGCTTTATATGTCTTATGCCCTTGACATGTTTGAGATATCAGATAATTATATATATTTTTTGATGATGTTTAGCGCGTTACCCTGATATCCTAGACAACACATTCTATCAAACGCTTGGTGACTTTCCACATTTGTATGTTGAATTTTAAGCATTAACGTTGAGCTCAAGGTTTACATAGATTATGTTTTTATTGTATTAGATGTTGCTTTCATTTACTTCAAGCATTGTATTCCTTATGTTTATCTTCTTTGATATCTTAGATATATTGGTATATCTGACAAAGACATGTTTTATCTAGTATTATCCTTCAGAACATGTCATCATTGAGTATTATATTTTATAATTAATATTTCGTTAAGTGTTGTTTTTTAAACTTCAAAACATGAGTTGCTTGACAGTCTAGTTTCTCTAGACGATATTGTCTCAACATCTAACTTGTTGTACTAAGCTTTAAGAGCTTGTGTAAGGTCATATAGAGACTTTTTTAGTTTGTATACATGATGTTCACGTCCTTGAAAGACATAACTATGATTCGTGGAATTTAATTTAGTCTCACATCGCTTAGTACGGTGATATGTTGTTCTCCATTTTGTTATATAAACAACCCTTTGTAAAGCTTAAAATACACTGAAATACAAATACTTCCTAATGTAGTAATGGACGTAGACATACATATTGTATGTTGATCCACATTAAATTCTTGTGTTGTTTATTTCTCTCTCTTCTTTTATTGTTTTATTCTTGTGTTATGGTTGCAGATTTGTCTGATCTACTACATAAGAAGTTTTAGTTTTGAAAGATGGAGAGATAAAAAGAATATTAAAAAATGGCTGAAAGTCCTGTTTGTTTGAAAAATCCAAATAAATTCTTATTTGTTACAATTAAGTTCATTAGTTTTTAAAAGTATTTAATTAAGCCATTTTTGTTATATTAGCATTAATGTTGTGTCCGTATATGACACATGTCAACTTGTAATATTTTTAATTTTTAAAATTTGTTTCAAATATTTTTTGATTTTTTTTCCAAGTTTGTGTTAAGTCATTGTCATGCATGTTATAGTGTTACATGACAATTCAATCTATTTTCTATAATTGAAATTTTGACTCCATTTAATACTAATTTTTTAATGAAACAAGTTTGTTCTTTACCAAAATAAAACAAATTAATAATTAATCTTACATATATATTATATATATATATATATATATATATATATATATTAAAATAATATTTTTTAGATTTTTATATAAATATATATATATATATATATATATATATATATATTTACTTTTATATATATATATATATATATATATATATATATATTAAAAAAAATCCTATTTTAAACTTATATTTTTTTAATATAAAATAAGATTATAATTTTAAAAATTTAATATTTAAAATAATTTCAAAAAATGTATTTTACTTGATTAGCTTATTTATAAATTTAGTGAGACAAATATATTTATATATTTTAAGTTAATGTATAATAAATTTAAAATGTCATTGTCACATATTATGTGTCAGGTGACACAGCAATACATAGAGGCTGACATATGATAAAAAAATTAAAAGAAAAAAAAATTTAAAATCCGTATAAGATGTGTATGTATACAATATTAATACCAATTTAATAAAAATGAATTAGTAGAATATTTTTAGAAATTAAAGAATTTAATTACTCATATAAGAATTACATATTTAATTGAGTTAATATTAAAAACAATTCCATTCTAGTAGGAGAAGCAGAAACTCTCGTGATAGTATTCTTTGCCATTAGATTCTTCTCTCAATCTATAGACACTGTTACGTTACTACTCTACATCATCATTGTTACTACTCTACATCATGTATTTTTCTAATGAAAAAAAAAGGAAGTGAAAAAAAAAAACGAAGTGAAAAAAAGACGAGAGTGCAGAGAACCATGGCGAGGGATCAGCAACTAAATATTTGTTTGGTCAGAATGTGAGGAAATAAAATTGAAATTTTAATGGATTTAGAAAGGACAAAAGGGTTATTTAAAACTCTGAAATAATGTCATCATTACCCACTAAAACAACGTCGTTTTATCATTTTTATTCAACTTATCTTTTCTTATTTCCTTCATTTCGAAAACTAAGTTTTAATACGTGGACGATTCTTTAATCTTTCTTTCCTCAAATTTTTTCTTCTTTTCTTCATTTTTATTTTCTGGTCTTCGGTGCAAATCTTGAATTCTATGCCCTAGTTTTCGCTCTCCGGTTCCTTCCCACAATGTCCGGCGACACCTCCTTCGCGGACCACAAGCTCTGCGGTTTCCTCTGTGCGGTTCTCACAGCCACTGACCGCGACTCCGATCCAGCCTTCGCTGAGCGCTGCGAAATCTTTAGCGACGGGGGTGAGGTCGGGTTCCGCTCCCAAACCGGCGTCGTTTTGTCTACGGTGGTGAATTCATCTCAATGCGGCGGCGGCGGCGGAGGATCGAAAGCCAAGAGGACGCACAGCGTTGGGATGGTGAATGGGAGCATGAGCGTGGTTCACCAGCTCCATGCTATGGTCACTCGCAAGTGCGCGAAAGTTGACGCACGCGTGGTGTGCGTCGAGTCGCCTAGGGTTGTGCTGCTGGTTGAAGTGTATCTTCCTATTCAAGTGTGGAGTGGCTGGCAGTTCCCGCGGTCGGGGGCAGTTGCCGCCGCCATTTTTCGCCATTTGAGGTTCTCATCTTCTCGCTTCGGAATTCCTTTGTGCTGTGTTCCAGAAATTGTTACTCGTTTAGTGCAATTTGGTTGTTAATAACTTTAGATTGTGTTAGAAAGTTACATGAACAATTTTGGCTAAGCTATGCATACGTAATGGTTAGAGATATGATCAAATTATAGTATACAAGTGAAGAGAAACCTTATTTTATAACTCAATTTTTGAGGTTGAGTTAGGTTGAAGTCAAATATAGGCTGAAACTATTATGAGAGTGGGTGTGACAAATAAATATAAATAAAAAATGAATCAGATGTTGAAACTGACAAATCAGGGAGAAGTTTATCACAAGTTGAATGGCATGTGTTGCCTCAATGAAGAGCCTGCAAAATCCTCCTCAGTGGCAGAGAAGATGCTTGTATCATCCATTCCTCTCAACTTCTCCTCATCGTATTTCTGTTACTGTAACAACATTATTGTCACACTGAGAATGCTCTGTTTTCTTGGAAAACCCTGCTTTTCTGGAAAAATTGCACAATGGAGAATTTGTACAGGGAAAAAATATAACGGAAGATCAGAAAGTTTTTTCATCATTCACTATTTTTTCTTTTTAAAATATTATTAGGAAAATATGTATTAATGTGTATCAAGAAAATGTGTATTAGGACCTTCCTTGGGGTAAACTTTTTGGTCAATATTGTGTAGTGAGGAAGAAGCAATTGGTTTGTGAGGAAAAGATTGAAGAAGTTGCCCTAAAAGATGAAAAATAAGAAGGAGATTATTTAGCAATGCTACAACCCCCTTATTTATTGAACTGTGACATTTTATTCAGATTTTACTGTAACTGAGGAACTTTCCCCTATTAGTTTCTTAACATCTGTAGGAACGACTCTACATTCTCCAACATCCTTCAAAGTTCTTGTCAATGATCTTCAATCAATAGTTCTCCTTTTAAGCACCTTGTCATAGTATTTACACTTTATTTTTCTTGCATTCTGAATAATTGAAACACAATGCTTCCATGCCACATCAATCTTCTCTCCATTACTAGATTTGGGGGTTTGCTTCCACCACTTGGATAAACTTTTTGGGTTTGTTGCCACTGATATTGTATTTAAAGCCATTTCATAATGACAGGGAACATTTGAAGCACCCCTTTGGCGAGCACCAACACATAGAGAAGATAGAACAACCCAAGAGTGCCCCAAAACTCCCCAACAGCCAAGCACCCTATAATGGAGATTCCACATAAATTGGAAACCAGAGAGGATTCTGAACATTCTGCTGTTTTTTTTTTCAAACGAAATAAAAATTTTGATTATAGAAGTTGTTGCAAAAACCAAGGAAGCGTTTTTGAAGAAAAGAAGGTTGAATGTAATTAATGAAGACTAGGAAGAAAATAGAGGGTTTGAAGAAAGACAACAAATGTTGGGTTTTAAAAGAAAAGAAAGAGTTAGTAGTAGTAGACGAGAGTTCAAGCAACTATAAATCAAATGATTATAAGGTTGTAAAGAAGAAGTTGATGCTCAAGGTTTTACTTTTTTTTACCTGAGTGTCATTCCCTTCAACGTAATTAAAATCCAACTTTTGCCAAAAAATTGAAATGATTGGTAAATATGGAGTTTGCTATAAACCTCCATCTCATTATAATGTTAGAGAAGCTTTTGAAACAAGCAGTGGAAAAAACTGACTTAATCCTTTAAGAATTTTGGGCAAGTGGAAGAAAACAAATTGCACAATTATGTCTAATGGGTGGATAGATGAAAAATGTGTTCTATTTGTAACTTTTTGGTGAATAGTCCTAAAGGGACTGTGTTTCTTTATTCATTTGATACTTCAAGCATCTAAAAGACAAAAGATAAAGTTTTTAGGATGTTGTGGACTTTGTTAGAGAGGAAAATGTAGCGCAAGCAGTTCAATTTGTTAGAGAGGAAAAAGTGTTTTTGTTTGTAACTTTTTGGTGAGTAGTCCTAAAGGAACTATGTTTCTTTATTCATGGGATACTAAGGAACTATGTTTCTTTATTCATGAGATACTAAGGAACTATGTTTCTTTATTCATGGAATACTCCAAACTATCACAAGCAAGAGAAAAGAATGTTAAGATGTTAGATAATATTGTGGAATTTGTGAGAGAGGAAAATGTAGTGCAGGTGAATGGTAATGCTTCAAATTTTAAGGCAGTTGGAGATTTGTTGATGAAAAAAGCAGCATTTGTATTGGACCCCATGTGCTGCCCATAACATTGATTTGATTTTTGAAAAGAATTTGAAAGTTCATCAAGTTACTATCAAAAAGGTAAGAATGATCAACAGCTACATTTATGTAAAACAATGTTAATTAGCTTGTTGAAGTAGTTCACAAAAGGAAGAGACTTGATAAGACAGGATATGACTATATTTGTAGCGACTTATGACTTTGGCCTGTCTTCGTGAATTGAAAATACCATTGTTGATCATGTTTAGCTTTGAAGAGTGGAAAACAAGCAAATTTTGATCTTCACATGAGGGGAGAAAAGTTGAAAATATAGTATTGGATAGTTGGTTTTGGAAGAATGTAACCACATACCTCAAAGTTGGTACCCCTCTTATGGTGACCCTAATATTGGTGGATTCAAATATAAAACCCGCAATGGTTTCCAAATATGAAGAGATAAATTGTGCAAAAGAGAAGATTAAGTACTACTTTAATAATACTATGAAAAGGTAAAAATTCTTTGGAATTTAATTACTTATTTGTAAATTATTTCTAATACAGGATAGTTGGTATTGAAAGTAGTTATGAAGCTGTTTGGAAAATCATTGATGAAAGGTGGAAAGATCAACTTCACAAGCCTTTGCATGCAACTATTACCGCAAAAAGGAAGGTTAAACATATCGGTATTTGATTTAGACAATAANATTTTTCTTGCATTCTGAATAATTGAAACACAATGCTTCCATGCCACATCAATCTTCTCTCCATTACTAGATTTGGGGGTTTGCTTCCACCACTTGGATAAACTTTTTGGGTTTGTTGCCACTGATATTGTATTTAAAGCCATTTCATAATGACAGGGAACATTTGAAGCACCCCTTTGGCGAGCACCAACACATAGAGAAGATAGAACAACCCAAGAGTGCCCCAAAACTCCCCAACAGCCAAGCACCCTATAATGGAGATTCCACATAAATTGGAAACCAGAGAGGATTCTGAACATTCTGCTGTTTTTTTTTTCAAACGAAATAAAAATTTTGATTATAGAAGTTGTTGCAAAAACCAAGGAAGCGTTTTTGAAGAAAAGAAGGTTGAATGTAATTAATGAAGACTAGGAAGAAAATAGAGGGTTTGAAGAAAGACAACAAATGTTGGGTTTTAAAAGAAAAGAAAGAGTTAGTAGTAGTAGACGAGAGTTCAAGCAACTATAAATCAAATGATTATAAGGTTGTAAAGAAGAAGTTGATGCTCAAGGTTTTACTTTTTTTTACCTGAGTGTCATTCCCTTCAACGTAATTAAAATCCAACTTTTGCCAAAAAATTGAAATGATTGGTAAATATGGAGTTTGCTATAAACCTCCATCTCATTATAATGTTAGAGAAGCTTTTGAAACAAGCAGTGGAAAAAACTGACTTAATCCTTTAAGAATTTTGGGCAAGTGGAAGAAAACAAATTGCACAATTATGTCTAATGGGTGGATAGATGAAAAATGTGTTCTATTTGTAACTTTTTGGTGAATAGTCCTAAAGGGACTGTGTTTCTTTATTCATTTGATACTTCAAGCATCTAAAAGACAAAAGATAAAGTTTTTAGGATGTTGTGGACTTTGTTAGAGAGGAAAATGTAGCGCAAGCAGTTCAATTTGTTAGAGAGGAAAAAGTGTTTTTGTTTGTAACTTTTTGGTGAGTAGTCCTAAAGGAACTATGTTTCTTTATTCATGGGATACTAAGGAACTATGTTTCTTTATTCATGAGATACTAAGGAACTATGTTTCTTTATTCATGGAATACTCCAAACTATCACAAGCAAGAGAAAAGAATGTTAAGATGTTAGATAATATTGTGGAATTTGTGAGAGAGGAAAATGTAGTGCAGGTGAATGGTAATGCTTCAAATTTTAAGGCAGTTGGAGATTTGTTGATGAAAAAAGCAGCATTTGTATTGGACCCCATGTGCTGCCCATAACATTGATTTGATTTTTGAAAAGAATTTGAAAGTTCATCAAGTTACTATCAAAAAGGTAAGAATGATCAACAGCTACATTTATGTAAAACAATGTTAATTAGCTTGTTGAAGTAGTTCACAAAAGGAAGAGACTTGATAAGACAGGATATGACTATATTTGTAGCGACTTATGACTTAGGCCTGTCTTCGTGAATTGAAAATACCATTGTTGATCATGTTTAGCTTTGAAGAGTGGAAAACAAGCAAATTTTGATCTTCACATGAGGGGAGAAAAGTTGAAAATATAGTATTGGATAGTTGGTTTTGGAAGAATGTAACCACATACCTCAAAGTTGGTACCCCTCTTATGGTGACCCTAATATTGGTGGATTCAAATATAAAACCCGCAATGGTTTCCAAATATGAAGAGATAAATTGTGCAAAAGAGAAGATTAAGTACTACTTTAATAATACTATGAAAAGGTAAAAATTCTTTGGAATTTAATTACTTATTTGTAAATTATTTCTAATACAGGATAGTTGGTATTGAAAGTAGTTATGAAGCTGTTTGGAAAATCATTGATGAAAGGTGGAAAGATCAACTTCACAAGCCTTTGCATGCAACTATTACCGCAAAAAGGAAGGTTAAAACATACCGGTATTTGATTTAGACAATAAGAAGATTTAAAAAAGCAATACCAAAAAGGTATCAAATAGAAGACGGGTTGTATTCTAGATCCTTCTGTTTCATATATGGATTCTTTCTTAACCTATTACCTCAACACCTATATTCAATATGAACCTGGCATGATGATTCTGAGGTGAAAGAGGATTTGTATGCATGGAAATATTGGTTAAGGATGTTGCATAAAGAAAAAGAAATTAGTTTGCAGCTTGCTGATTTTCATTATGTTAGAGGACTTTCTTTCATGGAACATGCGAGGGATTGTAGGAAAGTGTTGCCTCTTGGAAAATGGTGGGAGATGTCTTGGGATAGAACTTCAAAGTTATAGTGGTTTGCTATTTGAGTTGAGTTTGACTTTAGCTCTTTTGGGTGTGAGCATAATTGGAGCTTATTTGAAATAGTCATTGAAGTTATTTATAATTTATAGTTTTCTGTATTTGGTTTATATATTTACCGAATTTGATATTTATTATACATTCATAGAAAGAGAAGTAATTGTTTCTATCAGAAAAAGATGAATGGTTTGGTTTATGTGATGTATAAATTGAAATTGAAAAATAAGCTAATTAGAAAAATTGATGCTCTTTTGTTTGATGATATTGAGTCTGATGATGAATTGATAACTATAAAGGGAGATAATGTTATTGAGATTGAACGTGGAAATGCTAACTTAGATGAACGAGGAAATGCTAACTTAGATATAGCAACAAGAGATCCAATTCTAGATGCACTTGATCTTGATAATATGACTTTTGATGCTAGTGTTGATACACAATTTTCTTGTGGGAAAGAGTTTGATGGTGATGGCATTCTGATGAAGATGATGATGTCATTAGAGGATTGGACATTGAAATTTGACATTAGATGATGTCTCTGTCTAGTTATTTAATTGGTATATGAGTTTAACAATCTATGCTGTCATTGTATGAACTTATTTATTTGGTGTGCTTTTATACTTATATAGTAGTCATGTACTATTGAATGTAGTTATTTTACTATTGTGGAATTATTTTTTAACTATTTTGCTTAATTATCGTGTTGAACTATTGCATTAATTTGCTATTTATGGATATTACTTTTTTTTTTCATGTAAAGTAACTTATGAGTTTATGAAGCTCTTATGGAGCTCTCACAAGTTTACATAAATTCTAACCTTTGTCAAACTTAATACCTTCTCTATTAAACTCACCAGTTATATTCTCATAATTTTGTAATAATAATTTAAATTGACTAATCTATTGCCTTCATTTTCCTGTGTAATATACTTTACACATGTTGTTGACTTTTTAGTTTGCTAACAGTTAGAAATGTTTGCAGCTGTGATTGGGATGAGCGAAGTTCAATGCTTTCATATCCAGACTATTGTAGGAAGACTTATGGAGCAAATGAGAGTAATTGGAACCTTTCTGATTGACATGTACTTTGTTGCAAGCTCCATCCCCATGTTAGCAGTTCTTCAAGGAAAAGCCTATTTGAACTTCATGAACTTTTCAAGACACTACCTGGCATAGGAAAACAACGGATGTTTAATAGCTCCAAAATAATTCCTATGGATCACTCATGCAGATGGGGCATTTGGGAGTTATCTGATGATATTTTAACAAAAATTTTATCTTCCCTGGACCCAATGGACCTCACTAGGGTTTCTGAAACGTGTCATCATCTAAGATCATTGGCTGCTTCTGTAATGCCTTGTACAAAGTTAAATCTGTTTCCTCATCAGCTGACAGCTGTTGAGTGGATGTTGCATCGTGAGCGAAATGCTGAGCTTTCGCCACACCCTTTATATGCATTTCTCTCAACTGAAGATGGTTTTAATTTCCATGTAAATACCGTTTCTGGTGAAATTGTCACTGGGGAAGCTCCCACCATCAGGGATTTTCGAGGAGGAATGTTTTGTGATGAACCTGGTTTGGGTAAGACTGTAACTGCACTCTCTCTTATTATGAAGACACGAGGTACATTGGCAGATCCACCAGATGAGGCACAAGTTGTCTGGTGTCAACATAATGGTAATCAGAAATGTGGTTATTATGAGATCAGTGGTAATAACATAACTGGTTGTTCTGCATTGGGTAAAAGGAACGTGAGCCAATATATCAGTAGAACTAATGATAACCATGAATACTCCTCCAAAAAAGCCAGAATGTCAAATCCTGACCAACACATGATTAAACTTCAGAGTTCATGTTCCATGGAAGTAAACAAATCACCTGTGGAGGCACGGTTTAAGGAATCTATGCATTCAAATCAGTATACTAGGAGTTTGAGCCGCATAAAGAAAAATCTATGCTTCACAAACGAAGAGGAAGCTATAATATCCAAGGAAAGAGAAACTGAAGGATTAATTAAAGCAAATCATGCCTCAGATGTTACACCTCATTTATCTCAAAAGAAGCTGCCTGGGAAGCCTGAAGGTGATCCTTTTGAGTACAGTGATACATGGATTCAGTGTGATGCTTGTCACAAGTGGCGAAAGCTGGCAGACAATAGTATGGCTAGTTCTAGTGCAGCATGGTTTTGTAGTATGAACCCTGACCCTCTTTATCAAAGTTGTAGTGTCCCTGAACAACATTTTCGTTCTACATCTAGGATAACATACTTGCCAGGGTTTCACTTAAAAGGAACTCATGGTGGTGACAGACAAAATGTTTCTTTTTTCACCAGCGTGCTTAAGGAGCACTACTCACTGATAAATTCTCAGACGAAAAAAGCCCTGTCCTGGTTGGCTAAAATTTCAACAGACAAGCTAGCAGCTATGGAAACAAATGGAATAAGAGGTCCTATTTTAAACACGTGTACTGCATCTGGCAGACATTTTAATGCCTTCCACAAAGTATTTCAAGCATTTGGCCTCTTAAAGAGAGTAGACAAAGGTGTGTGCAAGTGGTTCTATCCTCAACATCTTAACAATTTGACTTTTGATGTGGCTGCCCTTGGCATGGCACTCCGTGAGCCTATAGATTTTGTTAGGTTATACTTGTCAAGGGCTACCCTGGTAGTTGTTCCAGCAAACTTGGTTGATCATTGGAAAACACAAATAGAAAAGCATGTGAGGCCTGGTCAATTGCGGATTTATGTTTGGACTGATCACAGGAAGCCATCTGTGCATTGTCTTGCATGGGATTACGACATTGTCATAACCACTTTTAGTCGTCTAAGTGCTGAGTGGGGCCCTCGTAAGAGGAGTGTTTTGATGCAAGTACATTGGTTTCGGGTAATTTTAGATGAGGGGCACACTCTTGGGTCTAGCCTGAACTTAACAAACAAGTTGCAAATGGCCATTTCATTGATAGCTTCTAATCGATGGATACTAACAGGAACTCCTACACCTAACACTCCTAACAGCCAACTTCCACATCTGCAAACATTGCTAAGGTTCCTTCATGAAGAATCTTATGGACTGAATCAAAAGTCATGGGAAGCTGGTGTGCTCAGGCCATTTGAAGCAGAAATGGAGGAAGGAAGGTCTCGTCTGTTAGATCTGCTTCACAAATGCATGATTAGTGCTAGAAAGACAGATTTACAAAGCATCCCACCATGCATCAAGAAAGTTGTTTATCTGGATTTTAATGAGGAGCATGCTAGAAGTTACAATGAATTGGTAATCACTGTAAGGCGTAATATATTGATGGCTGATTGGAATGATCCCTCACATGTTGAGAGTCTACTGAATCCAAAGCAGTGGAAGTTTCGTAGGGCAACTATAAAAAATGTCAGGCTTTCGTGTTGTGTTGCTGGACATATTAAGGTTACACATGCTGGTGAAGATATTCAAGAAACAATGGATATGTTAGTACAAAGTGGTCTGGATCCTACTTCTGGAGAGTATACCTCCATAAGATGTAATCTCTTGTATGGTGGTCACTGTGTCAGGTAGTACCCAGGTTTTGTATTTTCTTGTATCTTTTTTTTTTTTTGTCTGGTTGTTGCTGCTTATTAATCTTTTCTTTCTAAATAAATTGTGAAGGTGCAAGGAATGGTGCCGCCTTCCGGTCATTACACCATGTCGGCATTTGTTGTGTCTTGATTGTGTTTCTATTGACCATACGAAGTGTACTTGTCCTGGCTGCAGTAAATTGTATGAGATGCAAAGTAGACTTCCCCGACCTGAAAATCCTAATCCAAAGTGGCCTGTACCCAAAGATCTTATTGAGCTACAACCGTCGTATAAGCAGGCATGGTGATTGAAGCGCTCAGTTGGCATTCACTTTCATCTTTTCCTTCCATTTTTCTGTTTTACAAAGCTAATATGCAATGTTGATTGTTGAACCCAGGATAATTGGGATCCAGATTGGCAATCTACATCTAGTACTAAAGTCTCCTATCTTGTCCAGAAGTTGAAAGCCTTGCAAGGAACCAACGAAGAGACCAGCTTCTGTGCAGACAATAACAATGATGAGATGCCTAATGAGAATAGTTTCTCTGTGCATAGAAGTGATGATAAATTAGCATTTCAAAAATGTTTGAAGAGCGGCACAAAAACCAATTCTAACCTTGAGAAAGTTCTTATATTTTCTCAATTTCTTGAGCATATACATGTCATCGAACAGCAGGTGCATTGCTGTGTATTGTCTTTTGTGAAGTGTTTCTATTTTACTTTTTTGGCATTTGTGGATGCTTTTGCAAATGATCTCACTATTAAATTGGACTTGTTTCTCTTTGGCAGTTAGCTATTGCTGGTATCAAATATGCTGGAATGTATAGCCCAATGCATTCCAGCAACAAGGTATAATGTTGGAATTCTTGGTTGTTGTTTCTGAAAATTTTAGTTTACTTTTGGTTTCTGACCTTTGGTTAATTTAACTTTTCCTTTTTCAGAAGAAGTCTTTAGCCACGTTCCAGCATGATTCAAGTTGTATGGCGCTTCTAATGGATGGAAGTGCTGCATTGGGTCTGGACTTGAGTTTTGTTACGCATGTATTTCTAATGGAGCCAATTTGGGACAGAAGGTTAATACATCTGACTATTCTAATTTACAAACATGGAATATTTTTTTATTGGCTGAGAAATAAATTGATATTCTAAAGTCATGAGCATGTTAAAATTTTGTGAACTTTTTTGCCATAAATGGTTTAGTCATTTAAAATTGTGGTCCAGGGTGTGCTTAATTTACATTATCTGTCAATACTGAATTTTCTGTTTTGGAATTCAACTTGCCAACTATAGCCATGGCGATGCATAAAGTGATTGACAGTGAATCTTTTGGTTTACCAATTTGTTGGATCTTTCTACTTTGACTCAAATTGGAATGTTTATCCAATTTCATTATCTTCTGACTTGAACAAAATCTTGTCAGTATGGAGGAGCAAGTAATTAGTCGTGCGCATCGAATGGGTGCTTCTCGTCCTATTCATGTTGAAACACTAGCAATGCATGGTACAATTGAAGAACAAATGCTAGGCTTTTTACAGGTGAATCTCTATAAATTGTACTTGACGCCATTTTATTTGAGTGTAATACCTTAACCTTAGATAATAGGTCTTTCTGAATGTGTTGTTTGTTTATGTTGTCCTTCATATTTGTTGCCGAAAATTTTCTCCGCAGTTGCTTTTGTTTAGATTTTATTATTATTGAAAGGATTGCTTGTCATTGTGTATCTTGTACACATGTGAGTGTACTCTTATTTATAATGGAGAATATATAGTAGTGACGAACAAATTCAAGAACTACTAATGAGAAATATTTTCTAAGTTATTTCCCTATTTGATGCGATCAAATCATATTTCCTTATTTAATGTAATTAAATCATATTTTTAACACTCCCTTTCAAGTTGGAACATATGTTTCATATGAGACAAGCTTGTGATAAATATCATCAACATGAGACTCCTTGAGAGACTTAGCAAGCAGATAAGCCAGTTTGTTGCTGGAGCTGACAAAGTCATGCTTCAGGCATCAATTTGGAGCAGGTGTGAAGGTCATATGCTAAGGAGCTGGTGGCACATGGCAGCTGTTGGCCATGTGTTGAACAGCATAGTGGTTGTCAGAGAAGGGTAAACTTTGATGATAGGGTTGTGTTAAAGGTCAGGGGTCACAACAGCTGTTGAAGAGCAAAAATGCTTAGAGGGCATGGTGGCTGTTAAAGAGAAGAAATATTCATAGGACGCGGTGGCTGTTGGAGAGAAAAAGTTGCGAGGAAGATGTGGTGATTGCAGAAGATAAAAAATGGTACGAGGATGTGACGATTGTCGGAGAGCAAAAGTGCTTGGAAGGTGTGACTACTACTGTGTAGCAAAAATGCTCAGAGCATGCGGTGGCTGCCAGAGAGAAAAATATGCTCGGCGGCTGCTGGAAAGTGAAAATGTTGCAGCGGGTATTGTTTACCTGAAAGAGAAAGTCACAGTGGCAGAGACAGGGCCATTGCCTCTAGGGAAAAAAGTCATGGCTTATAAAGGGATCAGTGACTAAAATGGTCATGGATGATACTATATTGGAAAGATTGCTTATCGTTGTGTATCTTCTACTCGTGTGAGTAGTCTTATTTATAATGAAGAAGAGATACAATAATAAGGAACAAAATTAATAACTAGTGTTGCAAAACATTTTCTCAGATATTTCCATATTTTATGTGATCATATCATATTTTCCAATTTAATGTAATTAAATTATATCTTCAGCAATTATTATTTATGTTTCAATTTCTTGATGTTTAACTAGGAAGCTGATAAATGTAGAAGATCGCCAATTAAGGATGTTGCCGACTCTGAGGATGATGGCGGGGGACGAGGATATAAATCATTGCATGATTTTGCGGAAAGCAGTTATCTATTGAAACTAAGATCTGTGTATACTAATTCAGAATGTCCAGAAGGTTTGTTCATAGTGTTTTCCCCATATCTGTTAGGAAATATGGATTCAGCAGAAAGATGAGTGATATTGCATTTTGACTTCTGTTCCTTAACTCTTTGTTTGAAATTTTGACAGGAAAAAAAAGGTGAAAGGGTTATGACTATGTTCGGAAAAACTAAGAATTGTTTAGTAAAATTAATTATTGAAGTACTAGTAAATGTAAGGTAACATGGGTTATATGATGAATTTTTCGTGTGTTCTATTTTTGTTTTATAGACAAACATGTTAGGTTAATATTATCATTTTAGATTAGCCTAATGGCGTCATGTTATTCATTTAGCATGTCTTAACTATAGAGTAGGATAAAGTTTTTGTTGTTGGTTTTTAAGGTAAAATATTTTTTTAAAGTTAATAATGTAATACCCAAGAATTAGTAAAAAGAGAACATGTAATAATTAAAATAATAACTAAAAAAATAGTTACATTTGAACAATTAAGAGACCTAGGGTAAAAAGTAAGTATATTAAAATAGAAAGAATATAAGTGGAAGGAAAAAATAGCTACAGGCTTATGTAAATTATATGCTATTTGAAGTAGTTTAGGGTAGCTATAAGCTTTTGTAGGAAACTTGTTTACCAAATACCTTAATTTGGTCCATGAAAGTTTATAAGGTTACTAGTTAGACTGGAATAATTAAATGCAACTTGCATTTCTCACTCTGTAGATTAGGACTTCTAGAAGAGAAAAGTATAAAGAAAAAATAAAACTTTTCTATAAATTAAAATTATCTTATGTATTAACTAATTCGGAGAATCTTTCGTATAATTTATATAAAATTTTTATTCTTAACTTGCATAAGTCATTTTTTTTCTTGGTAGAAGTCATTCTGGATAAGCTTGTCCAAATATACTCTTAGTAAGTTCAATGAAATATTGTATGTCCGAGCTCTATAAGCACCATGTTGAAACTTACTGCATGCTCTGACCTATAGATAACCTCCGCTCTCTAAACTTACCCTCACCAATTTGTACGGTTTTTTAACTGCATTTAATATATGTACTTTGGATTTAAATGAAATCTTCTCTTTTTATCTACTAACTTTATTATTTTTGTATAAAGATTTAATTAGAATGTATTGAGTTGCACTGTCTTCCAATATGAATTGCCGCATGGTTTCTAATTGGTTCCCAATGTAAAATCCTTATAGTAACAATGTATTTAAGTTACGCTCTTATGATAATATATATTTTTCTGTTTCTACTGCAGGTGTTTTGATTGATCAACATCAAGCAAGTTCTAACTAATTTGCGTAGAGCAGGTTTTGTGGACATTTGCCCCTGAATATGGTTTCACTTTCTGGATATAGTCTTAGAAATGCTCATCTAATGAAATATGGTGCTGCATTCAAAAGCGTGGAAACCATTCTTTTTGTAAAATATATCATGGAGCTCTTCACAACGCCACTTCTGTTTGCCAGTGATTAATGAAAAACTGGAAGATTCCTGTGTATTCTTTTGTAGAGGATTGAGTCCAGTTGATGTGATCTTGGTGGCAGTTTGGAGTCAATAATTAAATTTAAATCGATTGTTTTGGTTATTGGAAAATGCAATGTTCTTTTCCCCTCTGACCTCGGCAAATGTCATGTATTTATGTCTATATCCATTTCATTACATGCAGGTAATTATGTAATTATTAGTGAATAAAAAATTCAAGATACATTAGAAAAGGGTTTCTGTTCATTTTGATTTTATGTTATTTGGAGTTTTTAATCAATTTTAGTTTAATTCGTCATCATACAATTATTTATAGGGATCAAAAGATTATATAATTTCTAGTTTAATTCGTCATCATATTATTATTTATTTGGATCAAAAGATAATAGTAGATAGTAGATAGAAAAACGAATAAAGGTAAAGAAAAAAATGGATGGCAAACAAATCCTCGATCAAATTTAGCTATGGTACTAGCGTTCATTATCTGAATTTACCTTATATCTATTTATATCTATTTTGTTATTTGTTTAAAAAATAACTGTGATTCTTTTTAAACACACGGTAATTCAAGCATACTTATAAATTTATTTAAATCTTTTCAAAAAATTATACAAAAAGGAAAATGAAATACGGGAAGAGTTTTTCCTATTTTTTTGTAGAGGATTGAATCTAGTCCATTGGACTTGATTTTGTTGCACTTTAGACTCAATAATTTGAATTTAAATCGTCCATTTTGTAAATCGACCATTTTGGTTAATGGAAAATACAATGTTTTTCACCATCTTTGGCTTTGGCAAATGTCACATCATATATATTTATATTTATATCCATAATTATGTGCAGGTGTGACATCCCAAAAATACAGTAATAAACCATACATTAGAAATAATTACAATTAGTAATATATCAGTTCAGTCTTATACTAATCAAGCGTACAATCTTGGCCGAACGGCCTTACATAGAGCTATAAAACTTAAATTGTTCCAAATAAAAGAAAACATGACCGAACGGTTTACAAAAGTACCATTACCGAACGGTCACATAGATCCAAAAGAAAGGAGGTGACCGAACGATCACCTCACAACTAAACTACTAAGCACTAGCCGAACGCTCCTATGGCTCAGCCTTAACTTCCACTTCTACGAGATTCTCTTCCTCCAAATTTCCTTCTTCCAGCGCCTCTTCCAGTAGCGCATCTCCTTCTGCTCACATCCACACGAATGATCATTGCAACGACAAGACGAACGTACAAGACGAGACAACACAAGGAACAACACAAGGTAAGCTTATGTAATTTAATTCAGTTACAAATCATACAATTCATACATCAACACAGAAACAAAGTTAACGAAACACTTCAAGCAAGGCCTAATACTAGACCGACCGTCTGGACTGTATGACATCTGTGTAGCTACGACGTTCGTGCACCCGGGTGATGTAGTAACTGGAATATTCTCATCAACTGCCACCCGAGGTTAGTCCTATCTGTCCAAAGTACCCCTAAGGACTAGGACCTCCTGCCGTTCCCACACATGACCTACTCTCCTCTACATGAGGACGAGTACTCACGGAACATCAGGATGAATTGACAGCTTAGCATTACCACAGTCATACTTTACAACTATCAAATATTCACTCATGAGTCGTTCCTCCCCGGAACGCTCGTTCAAATCCACAATATTTCATTCATCTCATATACTCTTCATCTTTTATAAATCTTCACTTTAATGCCATTTTTATCACAATATCCAAGAACGTAAAAAACCGAACGTTCAGCCCTCTTCAGAATGAGGACGAACGACAGGAACGAGACCGTGAAATCTCCCTTTCCAGAATAGAATAAGACTGAAGGGGTTACTTTCAGATTTAAAATAAATTGAGTACGGCTACACAATATGTGACGAACGTTACTTACAACATGAATCAGTTAAATGAACTGACTCTCGTGAACTAAGATTAACACTCGAAGAATATATCCGGTACGGGAACTCTAGGTCGGAGGCAACGAAGGTAGACATGCCAAGACGTTTAAAGAACCAAACGTAGAACAATTAATACATATATATAGAGACTAAGTGCTGGTCAATGACTGAACACGGTAAAGGAGATTCTACTGAATTTGGACGAACGCTGTTTCATCCCGATTTATAAGTTAAAATGGTTACGAGCGCTCGGTGTAAGACCGAACGCCAATCATTATGAGAGCGTGAGTTGAGACTATCACTAATTCGAACTTATAATAGGAACAACAATAATAATTATGATAAGACACATTTGGAGACGGTGATGAAGAATAACTAAATATACAAATATCTATTTACAAGATTTTCAGTTCCTCACTTAACACTCAAGTACATCTATGTTCGGCCGAACGCTCAAACATAGTACTATTACAAGAAAACGCTCGTCCTCCACCAGAACTCTTCCCAAATGAAAGAATTCAATTTCAAAAGAGTTTACAAGGAACACCGAACGGTCAAAGACCGTTCAATGTCGAACGTTCAATATCATAGGAAAATTTCTTATTTGAACTCACTTTCATTCTAATTCATTTCTCAGCGTATAACTTCATAATTTCATACTTTCCTATCATAGCACATTTCATATTATTCATACATCAACTCATAATAATGATCATATATCAAATAATCAACATCACAAAGTCATGCTTCATGCAACTCACAGAACGTCCATGCAACTTAGTAAAACATATGAATTAAATTGAATAAGCTTCCCTTACCTCTTTTGTGAACGGACGTCCTAACAATACAACACGTTAGCCTGACTGGATTCCCTTCTACTCTTACGTTCCACAACTCTTAAACTAACCAAACAGCCAAAAACAAAAAATGGTTCAGACAACGTAACAACATGAAACCGGCACTTGGTTTGCATGTACCAGAAAACGAACGAGTGAAGACGAAGAGATTTACCAGTTTCAGAACTTAAAGCTAATCGGTTCGATTTGAAGCTTGGGACGCCGGGAGTATTCCTACGGTGCCTGAACGATGATCGGGGCAGAAAAAGGTGAGTTACAGTAGAGAGAAGGAAGGGTTTTCTAGAGAGAAGAAGGAGAAATGGAAAGTCAGAGTTTGGAAAGGAGAAGGTGCATGCAGAAGAGAGTGGGTACGGGTTTTCAGAAAATCACTTTTGTTTTCCCCCGTCCAAACGAACGTCCGCTCTCCTGCTGACACCTGCCTTTCACTATCTGATTTTCGAAACTTCGCTGGTTGACACCTGGCGTCCGCTCAGAGGGGTTTTGGGTGCGTTTTTAATGAGATTAGACAGGTGGGGTTTGGGTGGGGTTTTTCCTAGGTCTGACAGCAGGTAATTATGTAATTATTAGTGAATAAAAAATTTAAGATATTTCGTTATCTGTTAGATGTTTGTTTGAAAAGTATTTGTAATTCTTTTAAACACATGGTTATTTATGAATACTTTTAAATAGTTTTAAAAATGTTTGAAAAAATTATAAAAAAAAAGAAAATGAAATATTGGAAGAGTCTTGCTTAATCTTTGGTAGAGGATTGAGTCCATTTGATGTGATCTTGTTGACAGTTTGATGGTTTTGGTTATTGGAAAATATAATGTTCTTCTCTACCCTTGGCCTTATCAAATGTCATATCACATGTAGTTATACTTATATCCATTTCATTATGTGCAGGTAATTATCTAATTATTAGTGAATAGAAAATCAAAGATGGATTAGCAAAAGGGTTTCTGTTCATCTTGATTTCATGTTATCCAAAATTTTAAATCGATTTGCTTTATAGGTATGTTCACTTCGATTTATTTTGTGATAATTAAGAATGTTCACCTATATAATGTCTAGTTCAATTCGTCACCATACAATTACCTATATGGATCAAAAGATAATAGATAAAAGAATGAATATAGGTAAAGAAAAAAAATGGATGACACATAAATCTTGGATCAAATTTAATTATGTCACTAACTTTCACCTTCTGATTTCAACTTTTATCTATTTCGTTACTTGTGAAATATTTGTTTGAAAAATATTCGTGAATCTTTTAAATAGGTAGTTATTCTTGAATACTTATAAATATATCTAAAAGTTTTTGAAAAAACTATAGAAAAAAGGAAAATGAAATACTCGAAGAGTCCTGCTTATTCTTTTGTAGAGGATTGAGTACAATCGATTTAATGTGATCTTGTAGGCAGTTTGGAGTCAATAATTTGAATTTAAATCGATCGATTGAAAAATACAATGTTGTTCTCAACCATTGGTCTCAACAAATGTCATATCATATGTATTTATGCATATATCCATTTCATTATGTGCAAGTAATTGTGTAATTATTAGTGAATAAAAAATTCAAGATACATTAGCAAAACGGTTTTTGTTCATCTTAATTTTGTGTTATCCAGAGTTTTTAATCGATTTGGTTTATAAGTATGTTCACTTTGATTTATTTTGTGGATAGTTAGGAATGTTCACCTATCTAATGTCTAGATCAATATAATTATCTATATAGATCAACAGATAATAATAGATAAAAGAATGAATAAAGGTAAAGAAAAAAAATGAATGACACACAAATCCTGAATCAAATTTAGTTATGGCACTAGCTTTCACCATCTAATTTTCCCTTATATCTATTTCGTTACTCGTCATATATTTGTTTGAAAAGTATTCATGATTCTTTTAAACATATGGATATTTATGAATACTTATAAATATATTTAAAAAATTTTGAAAAAATTATAAAACAAAGAAAGAAAGCTTAGAAAAAAAAAGGGCGACTGAATGAAGAAAGGAGAAAGTTGTATTAGATAAAAAGTATTGTAATGGTGAGTCCCTTTCACCCTGTAGAGAGGGTGAACACATAAGTCCCACAATGGTAAGATATTGTTCACCTTTGACCAAACTCTCACAAATTTACTTTTAGTTAATTTTTATTACTTTTAATAAAATAACATCGTTCTCTTAATAAATATATATTACTTTTATGGCTTAAATGTTTACTTCGTCCTCATGTTAAGAGGCGAATTTCTGTTTAATACCCGGTTTTAAAAATCAAGACATTGGGTCCCTATGTTATGAAAAATGTATAAATAAGGTCCTGTCCATTAAGTAACAGCAATGACTTCTAATGTTTAACTTTTTTTTTTCTCTTGTTCAGCTTTTTCATTGATGATTTGTTGAACTTGTTCTTTCTTTGTAGACCTTTTTCATATACTTTTCAT